TCAGAGGACGACGAAGACGAAGATGTGGCAGCAAAGTGAACGCCGCCGGGGCCAAAGTCCCGCCCCCGCAAGGGCCGCAAAGGGTGGCCCTCGACAAGGCGGCCCCGCCGACGAGGGTCGTCGTGCACGACCGTCTACCGCGTAGACAAAAGCGCAGCCAGGACCCCGCGCCCTCCGCGCCGCGCGGCGGTCGCGCGAGCGTCAATGCCAAAAAGGCGCTGCTCATCCGCGGGCGGACGGCCAAGGCCGGGAACAAGGGGTTTTTTGTGAAATGAGGCCGCTGCTCTGCAAACGGGAGGTGGGCGGACGGCGGGTACCAGTGGTCGGGTCTCGTGTCTATGCCATTGAGCGCTGTGTGTGCATGTGTATGTGAGAGAGACACACGCAGGGGGGGAAAGGGAAGAAGGAGAGGGTGAGACTCGCAGGAGCGAACTTGGGGGTTTGTGCTGTGTGTCCTTTTTCCTGACGCACCAAATTTTGGAGCACTGCGATTTCAAGGGGGAAAACAATCATCTTCAGACCCGGAGTTATGAATGGGCGGTCATAGAATGAACAGACATCACCACTGAGTTTCGGGTCATCTCTATGCAGAGAGAGAGAGAGAGAGAGAGAGAGAGAGAGAGAGAGAGAGCATGTCCGAAAGTGTATCTGCTCTCGGCGTTTGGTATATCAATGCTATAAAACTCACTCTGCCAGACGGGTCTGCCAGACGGGACAGCTAGCAACAAGAGTACGGAACGGAATGGCTTCCTTGACGAGCACATTCATAGCATAAAATGATCCGAGCCGTCCACAGCCCATTTCCGTGCATGTTCAGGCGCTAGCGAGCCGCAAGGTCAAACACATCATGGACTAAGCGAGGCCGGCGCACGTCAAAAGAACCTACAGACACAGACGGACGAAATCACGGGCACATCCAAGTCGAGCGTGGAATACGTTGAGAATTTTGCCAACCGTCATCACAGGGGCTTCTCACCCTGGAGCACCGCCGTCTTTCTGAAGCGCGTCTGTATCCTATGGACTCATCACAGAGCATCCGTCTTCCTCCATCTCCTTCTCTTTCCCTGGCACACGGCCAGCCATCCCCGTTACATTACGACTGTAAGAGAAGTATCTACATGTCTTAGAAAAACATGACTGTCATGACAAGCGTCGAAGCGGCAGCGCGCGCAGTTGACCTCATCTAAGAAAAAAGAAAATGTGAGGGGTTGCGAAAACAGAAAACCTGGTATCTTTCCCTTGAAGAGCGCATCGCAATGCAGCAGCACGAAAACGACATGACACAGAAAAGTAGCTCAGATCCTCCTGAGGGCAGTAGCATGAGTACAGATAGGCCAAGACCGGAAAAGGGGAAAACCGCAGGGGTATAAGTGAATGACATCAAAAGGAAAATCAGGAGTGCAACGGGGCCAGTTCGAATACGTCGAACTGTGTATCCGATGCATCCCTGTCGTCCCTTTCCAGTGCCCAAGGTAAATCAGGATGAGCAGGGACAGTAAAATATCATGAGTTGTGACGCTGCGGAGCGGATCATGCCTCTTCCATGATGCCGCCCTCGCCGCCGCCCTCATCGCGCCACTCACGACTCCTCTCTGTGAGTCGTCGCACGCCGCCGACTCTACCAGACCAGATGGACTCGATCGGCGTTCGGAAAGTAAAGGCGCGTTGTGAGCTGATGACGCCAATAGGCTTGAAGCACAGCCTTGCGGCTGTCGCGGCCAAAGACGGCCGGATGGCTGATCCACTCGAGGCTGCTCTCGAGCTCTGCATCAAGGCAGCCACGGTGCTGGCGTCGATGCCAGTGCTGAGACTGAGGCCGTCGTGTGAGCGGCTGCGGCCAATGCCAGGCGCCGGGAAGCGATCCATGGCGGAGGAGGTGGTAGATTGGGTAGGGGAAGGTGTGCGCTTGCGGGTCCGGAGTGCCCGTAGTTGGCGAGCCGTCATGGCCTGGATGAGGAGTGGAGGGCAGCGACTTGTTCGGGGGCAGCGAGGGGACAGGCGGTAGCCCGCCCTTGCCGAGGCCCTTGAGTATGGAGCGTGTCTCGTTGAGAAGGGTATGGGCACGGTCGTGCTGGCCGCGAGAGACGAGGGTCAAGGCGCGGGTGAGCATGTCCGACGTGAGGAGTTCCATCCGTCGCTGAACGATACCAGGATGGGGAGGAATGGGTGGCGATCCGGACCATGAGTTCTTGGCCTTGGCCTGGGCTGGGAGCATGGTGATTGCCAAGAGGGTAGGACGCGGCATGTGGGAAAGCGTGCCGTCCCTCAGAATGTCGCCCCAAGTGAGGTCAGCCTGAATAAGCGGCACCTCCTCGACAGACGCCACCCGCTGCTCGTCGCTCTCGCCTGATCCACCCAGGGCCTCGAGGCCCGAGACAATGTTGTCCCAAGGATCTTGAGGAAGTTGCTCTTGCGAGGCATTGTCGGGCAGAATGACGAGCTGCACCAGGATATCGCGCTTGTCACCGAAGCGGAGATCGCCCAAGGCGGCCTCAGCGTCTCGGCCAGTGGCGCGCTTGGTGATTTGCAGCGCCCCGCTGATCTTGTGGAATTTAGCCGGTGAGCCTTCGGGCAGCTTGAGCTTCAGCTTGACGTTCTGGTGGGAGAGGGTCTGCATGGCGCCCAGGCAGCCGGCGAGACACTCGCGGAGCATCATCCAATCCTTGACGTAGGTGTACGACGCCTTGGTCCTGCTCGACAGCTCGATCATGGTATCCGGCTTGTGAGTCATGCCCAACCCGAAAGAGTGAATAGTGATCCTGGCATGACAGTTAGCATCAAGCTTGGGCAGGGTCAAAGCGGATGAGGGGCGGGAGGTGGCGGGTTGAACGTACTTGGCGGCCTCAGCCCGAGACACGACAAAATCTACGCTATCCGCATCCGACGTCGAGGCATCACTGATGAGCATGATTGTCGCGATGGGATTGTTGTGCTTGCGTTGCATCAAGAGATCCATCGCCACATTGGCACCCTCAACGACGTCGGCTCTATGGCTCTTCTGGCCAATCGGCTTGATGGCGGAGAGGATGTTATTCCACCCAGGCCAAGCCTTGGTCGTCATGCCCACCAATGGCACTCCTCCACCGCCCGAGCCAAAAGTGACGAGGCCCATCCGGTCGCGGTCACCCAGGGTGTTGATCATGAACTTCAGGGCGTCACGAACGAGGTTGATCTTGACGCCCTGCATAGAGGAGGAGATGGGAACAACGACGACGACGTCGATGGGAACGTGGACGAGAGCGGGCAGACCAGGACTCCGTTGAAAGTTGGTGTATTCGGTCGGTGCTGTGGTCGCGGATTTCGCGCCTCCCCATGATGAGGCCACCGACGACACACGCTGCGGGCGGGACCTTTGCCAGTCCTCTTCCTCCACCTCGGACAGGTCGCCGCGGTCGTATTCGGGGCTGCGGATGGGTGACGTCTCGACAGCATTAAGATCGAGTAGCGCTTGTTGCCAGAGCTTCAACTGATTGCGGTTCTCGAATCGCAGGTGGAACTGTGGCAGCTCGGCAACGGACAGGCTCAGGGTGAGTACGTTCTCGTCAACTGTGCTTCGGTCAGCGTCAAGGTCACAGTCGCACACAGAGCTCATCGACTCACTGTTGCCCGTCTCGGTGACCTCATTCAGATGCTTCTTGATGAGGATAGAGCCCTTCAGGGTGCACCGGGTCGACTTCTTGGGCAGGCCGTTCTCATCCCACTGATTTGCCAGGATGACTTTCTTCTCCTTGACGCAGATCAACATCTCGGCGAAAAGGAAACATTCCAATTCTTGCCAGGAAAGCTTGTCCTTGCCGACACGGAGGGTTCCGTACAGTCTCAACTTGCCAAATCTGGATGATGGTCAGTACGCTTATTGGTTACGCAACCATCCAATCACCGGCGGTAGCATGACTGACCTGCTGAAATCAAGACCGTGCCAGTTATCTACCCTATTCCTCAAGCTCTCCGTGATTTCTTCGAGGACCTCGGGCGATTCGTAGGGGTAGAAGCGAGGAGCGCTCCTGGCTGGTGAAGGTGGTCTTGCAAAGGCATCTTCAATCTTGGCGTTGGTGAGGACCGGGCGGCGCTGCGCCGAGATCCTCAGGGTCGGGTTTCCACTTGGTATCAGGCACTTCGACCGTGATCAG